AGGGGGGAAAGTGCAAAACCGACATTTTTGGAGGGGGCGAAGTGCAATTGCCCCTAGTAATAATATCACTGTCGGGAAATAATATTCAGAATATTACTGTCCCAAATAGTAATATTAGTGTCTGAGACAGTAATTTAGTACCCAAGAAAAAAAAATATTAAGTAAAATATTTTTTTTCTAAGAAAAATATTAAGTAAATTTTTCTTTTCTAAGAAAAAAAAATTTGAAAAAAAAAAAGTCAAAGCTGGAGACGACGGCGGTCACAGTGGTTGACCCCAGAAAAAAAAGTTCAGGAAAAAAAAAGTTTTCAAAAAAAAAGTGGGGTAGAGCATAATGGATGGAATCTGGCCGGAAAAAAAAATTATTTTCTGAAAAATAGAAATATTTTGAGGGGTTAATGTGATATATTTGTTTAAATCCGGGGTCAATGTGTAATATTAAGGAAGTTAGAGCATAATGGATGGGATTGATAAGAATTATATTATGGAGAGTATTTTAGACTAAAGGCATGGGGATGAGTTTAATTGAGAGACTGTTTTTTTTTTGGACCAGTGTGCATTTAAGTCTAATGTGATTGGCATTTTTGTCATTCGCCCTAAATAAAAATGTGGAATAGAGGTACTTATTTAAAAAGATCTTATTTGCTCTCCAACAACTTATTTAACTAAAAAATTAACATCTTTTTTCTAAAACATTACAAAACACTTTGGAAGAGCTTATAAGCTCTAAAACATCTTATAAGCTCCTTTTAACATCTTATAAGCTTAGTCAAACACCCTCTTATTAGGCTCACAAATTCGTTAGGGTTTGTTTATTGGGGCTATTTGTCAAACACCCCTTATTGAATTTGGACTTCATGATAAATCCATTTTATTAATTGACATTTGACATAAGTCCATTTAACTTAAATTACCTGAAATGCCCCTATCATACTCTCTTACCAAATTAACTTTCACAAATCATACGCTCATTCTTTTTCTTATTCTTCTTTTTGCAGAATATTTTTTTGGACAATTGGCAAAAAGGCCCATCACATGGGACTTAAATGCATTTTAGTCCACAAAAAAAACAGTCTCTCAATTAAGCCCATCCCCATGTCTTTAGTCTAAAATACCCTTAATAATATAATTCTTAACAATTCCACCCATTATTCTCTAACTTCCTTAATATTACACATTGACCCCGGATTTAAACAAATATATAACATTAACCCCCAAAACTTATTTTTTTTTAGAAAATAATTTTTTTTCTGAAATGTTTTTTTTCCGGCCAGATTCCGGCGTTGACCGCCGGTCTCCGGCGTTGATTTTTTTTTTTTTTTTTTTGAATTATTTTTTCTTAGAAAAAAAATATTTTAATTAATATTACTGTCTTGACTACTAAATTACTGTCTCAGACAGTAATATTACTGTTTAGGACAGTAATATTATGAATATTATTTTTCCGAACAGTAATATTATTAATATTATTGTCTAAGACAGTTAAATTACTGTTGGGGACAGTAATTTAACATCCAAGACAGTAAATATAATTAAAATATTTTTTTTAAGGGGAAAAAAAAGAGTCAATTAACAGTTAAATTATTGTCTCCGACAGTTAAATAACTGCTGGAGACAGTAATTTAGCAACGAATACAGTAATATTAATTAAAAATATTTTTTTTAAGAGTAAAAAAGTCAATTAACAGTTAAATTACTGTCTCCGACAGTTAAATAACTGCTGGAGACAGTAATTTAGCAACGAATACAGTAATATTAATTAAAAATATTTTTTTTAAGAATTAAAAAGTCAATTAACAGTTAAATTACTGTCTCTGACAGTTAAATAACTGCTGGAGACAGTAATTTAGCAACGAATACAGTAATATTAATTAAAAATATTTTTTTTAAGAATAAAAAAAGTCAATTAACAGTTTAATTACTGTCTCCGACAGTTAAATAACTGTTGGAGACAGTAATTTAGCAACGAATACAGTAATATTAATTAAAAATACTTTTTTTTAAGAATAAAAAAAGTCAACTAACAGTTTCATTACTGTCTCCGATAGTTAAATAACTGCTGGAGACAGTAATTTAGCAACGAATACATACAGTAATATTAATTAAAATATTTTTGAAGAAAAAAAAAACAGTCAATTAACAGTTAAATTACTGTCTCCGACAGTTAAATAGGTGCCGGAGACAGTAATTTAGCAGCCAAGACATTAAAATTAATTAAAGTATTTTTTTAAGAAAAAACAAAATTATTAAAAAAAAAAGGCAACGCCGGAGACCGGCGGTCTCCGGCGGTCAACGCCGGAATCTGGCCGGAAAAAAAATATTTCGGAAAATAAAATTATTTTCTGAAAAAAAAAAGTTTTGGGGGTTAATGTGATATATTTGTTTAAATCTGGGGTCAATGTGTAATATTTAAGAAGTTAGAGCATAATGGGTGGAATTGATAAGAATTAGGGTTAAAATTGGGTCAAAATTGAAATTAGGGTTAAAATTGGTTAATTGATGAAATTGGGCTAAATTGGGGTGTAAATCATGAAATTGGAGTTGAATTGTGTTTCAATGAATTGGGGGTAATTTTGGTATATATAAAAGGATTTTCCTTATTTGCAAATAAGTTTGAATGGGTTGGATTTATTTGAAAGACAAAAAAAAATTGAATGTCCCTCTTTTAATTAAGTGCCCTTGTCATGGGTTTTTTTGTGATTACCCCTATTTTTTTTTATAATTTTAATTTTAAAATAAAATATTGCTTTCATTTTATTTCAATTTTTTAATTAGTTTTTCAATTTTTCCACTAGGTTTAAAAAATATTTTTAATGCCCAATTTTATTTTATTTTTTTGTTTTTTTATTATTTCAGTTTTATTTTTTCTTTTTCCACCAGGGTTACGAAAATTAAAATCCACTATATATTCATCGGAAACTACTACAAATTTATCGAAAACCACTGTAAAATTACCATAAAATTCACAGTAAATTAACGTAATCCACTTTAATATTAACATAATCCACAACAAACTTATCAAAATCCACTAAAAACATATGTAGTCCACTACTAACACAACTCAAAAAATAACAAACAAAAAAAACCGTAAATTCATTATTCAAAATCCACTATTTGAAATGTAAATCACTACTATGTCCACGAAAAAGTGCAAGACGAGTACACCACCACCAACAATGCCGACGAGGATCACTAAATGTATCTGAACAAGAACAAATTTAATTAGCAAATGAAAACCAATTTCCAAAAGTAAACCTTGGTCTCATACCATCGT